TTTTAATTGGCCTCCTTGTCTGTGGTTTTATTTATTTAAAGCTTTAATTTATATCTACAATTAAAGAAGATTTTTCCTAAGACATCAAGGAAATATTTTTCTGTGGATATTGTATTTTAAAATAGAATAATACGTCTTATTAAGAGGTACTTCATTAGAAACTCTTCCAGGTGCTACAGACCTACCATCAAAGTATCACTAAGAGCTATTTCTTGTGTAGCCATATATATATATAACCATAAAAAGATGACTACAAGAGTTTCTCTTGGGGATAGTTGACCACGTTTCCATTTTATTAGGAAAAGCTAGAGTTTCTGAAAAACTTTCTGCTGGACTCTAAGCATAAATATCTCTTTATCTTAGTATGTAAGATGAAACTGCTGTCTGCCCATTTGCATCTAGTCCCTAATGATCTTGTAGATGGGTATTAGCAGAAATAAGAGCTCTGTATGTTGTGCTTACCATTTATATTCAGTATCAGTTGTAATGGAAAGGGATCCAATTTGCATTTCTGTTGGTTATAGTTTAAATCGTGGTTTATAACTTGTCTTTAACAGTTTTGCTTCAGTTTCCATGTTTTCTGAAGGGGGAGATTAGAGTGGATGCTTCATTATATTAAAGACAAAAGACATGATATAGAAACAAAGTTATTTTATATAGGTAAAATGAAACTTGATTAGATACCTTATTCCACTTTTTTTTTTTCTGGTCATATATATGTATATTTACATATTTTTTGTTAGCTTCAGCACATCTGTGGTCCTCTAAAGAACTTCCTGCATTCAATGAGGTGTAGAAATGTGGATAGGCTAAAGAAAAAAGTATGATGGATGAAGAAAACATCAAAGTATGTCAAGGAGATATACAGTAAATGCTGTGGAGGAAACCTCATTCCCCAAGCTGAGCATTCAGCAGATTTTCACTTAAGCACATTTTATCCGCTAAATGTTATGAATTCCGTGTTTATATAATTTTCTACAAAATAGCTTTTTCCCATGAAAATTTGGAAGTATGCCGTTGGACTGGATTTATGTTATCAGACATGAGGGTGGTCAGGCCCTGGCACACATTACCCAAGGGACCTGTGGCTGCCCCATCCCTGGAAGTGTCCAAGGCCAGGTTGGATGGGACTTGGAGCAACCTGGCAGAGGGTTGGAACTGTAAGTCCTTTAAAAGACCCTTTCAACCCAAAATATTCTGTGATACCAGATCACTTACCCCACGATTGGAACCTCTCTACTTCTACAGTCGTGTTATGCTGACAGTCACCCATGTTGGTTTTGACAATACTACTTTAATTTTGTCCCCCTGTGTCTGTGTCTGGTCACAGAGAAGATACAACAGATTTTGCAGGCAGTGTCAGTCATATGCATGCTTCCCTTCTCTCGCAGCCTGGAAATTTAAGGTCTTTGAATGACTTAGCGATCTCTGGGTTCCTGAGTCTTGCATACTGGACTGCTTGCACACCTGCTTGTTGTATTGTGTTGTTTTGCTCCCCATTGTATTGTGTTTAATGGTTTGCTCCCCTCTCCCCTCTGTTTTGGTTACAATGTGTTATCCCAGTTGTCACTTCTTCTATGTTCCCCCTAGCCCCCCTCCTCTGGGCCTTGTCTGTCACCTGGCTACTCCTCCCAGCTTCTGGAAAACTCAGGAAGAGTCGTTGAGTGATAAAGCAGGGACAGAGGAGGTCTCTCCCCAAACATCCTCATTTGTTCTCCCAAATGCCCCTCCAACCCTGTCATGCTCCCCACTGCTTCCCTATTGATTTGTGATCTGTCCCCTCCCTTCATTCCTCCCCTGTACTTAAACTGTTGATGCCCCTTGGCATCAATGAGCCTTGGGGGCTCACTTGGAGCAGCACCCCTGAGGTTTGAAGTCCCTGTAGGGACAGAATAAACCTTGGGTTTCTGCCCTCCTTGAGAACCTGACTCCCACCTCCTCCATCATTGTGACAATTTCTTCTGATAAGGGAGAAATCCCTAGCCGCTACTCCTGTTCAGGGGATTTGGAGGGGTGTCCCCCTGCAGGTCAGCGGTGTCTGGCTAGCCTGGATGGGTGGAGTAGTCACTCCAAAAGGGACACCACAACACCTGCTTCTAATTTAAAAAGGAGATGTTCAGATAGCACATTGCAGTATTTGTTGCATCTCTTTGGTCTAGAGAATATTGTTTCTTGAATCTGTTCCCATCAGTATTTTTTGAGATACTACCATTTCCATGAAGGCAGAATATAATGGCCCCCCAAAGCATACTTCACCTAAATCCAGCATCTCTGCATTTTCACACTTCATCTGGGACTTTGTTAAAAACATGATTGTTTTCCCATAATGGTGGCATAAAAGAAAGTTTTGGTTGTAGGAAGAAAAGATGAAGAATGAGGAACATTCAGGCCTCAAAGGATATCCTCTTCTTGCACGTACCTGGCCAACCTTTCCTTGGCTAAGCCCTTTGCCCTTCAGACTTTTGCTGGCATCTCTGGCTTTGCCTGACAGACAGACAACTGGCCAGTTCTGACGTGGTGCTGGAGCCAGCTAGCTCTCCCTCAGCTCCGCGATGGGAACACACCTCAGGAGCAGGATGAGCCAAGGTACAGCTTAGAGCCAAGCTCTATGGCACTTCAGGCTAGTCAGGCGCAGTGTGGCGGCAAGAACGAGGGGAGGTCTTTTGTATGGGTTTAGTTGAATTTAATCTCCAAAGGACCCAGGGACAAAAGACGAAAGACACAAGCTGTGCAGCAGCTTATATATGGGGAGGAGTAAGGGGCAGACACAGCTCATTGACCAATAGGGAAGACTTAGGGGAGGATTTTAAGGTGCAGCTTACAAAGCATAAACCAATGGGGAAGTTTAGGGGGCAGGAACAGTTTAACACAATCCAATGGGGTATCAAATATAATATGACCAACAGGGAGGATTCCAGAACAAAGGGTAGGTACTAAGTAAAACTGACAGGGAAGGATCTGGATAAAGGGGTAGGGTTACAGTGACTGACAAGGAAGGTACTGGAAAAAGGGGTTGGGATACAATGATTGATGGCAGTGAGGAGGAGGGTACAACTTGGAGCAAACCAACATCAAAAGGGGAAAACAGAAAAATTTATACAACAAGCTTTGAGCTTATTAAACAAAAACACATCACCACACAGCTCCTTTGCAGTGACCATGTAAATGAGTCCCCAGCTCTGTGTCACCACTTGGCTAACTACAGCCTTCAGATCACACTGCATTTGAATATCTTCCACTATATTCTCTGGCTACTTTTAGAGTATCTTCAGTCCTGAGAGCTCTAGAGCAGCTACCACCTGAGGGTCACATACTCACTAATTAATTTCCTTTGCAAGGCAAATGGACTAGAGCTTTCAGCAAAACTCTGCTAAACTGTTCTTTTACAGACAGAACTCTCATTGGCAGGGAATCACCTGTAGGACAATCTGTATAGACAGTCACATTGAGGAAAAGAAAAATATATGTCTTTCTGTAATTATGGGTCTTTTTTGAGTGTGTTATCCATACATTTCACAATTTATTTTTCTTTGCCACATTTAAAGAATGCTGGACTTTGCACTGCTGAAAAAACAAGGAACTGTTTCATGGGTTTTTTTGTTTTGTTTTGGGGTGAAGTAATCTATCACAAACATAAAGAATTTCTGTAAGGAGAATAGAGAGTGAGAGGGGCAAATAAACAGAGTTCATTTTATGCAGGCTCAAAACAGTATTGGACAAAACTGTTCTGGTTTTTGCCTGGCATGGTTTGCCAAAAGGTAATAGCTCAATGCATTTAAAGCAGTAGGTCATATGTACCACTGTTGGGAACCTTTACAAATGTTTTGTTCCTGTCCTTCACATTGGCTGCAGAGGGAAATATTTTTCAAAGGCATGATGAGATTCTTTTGGGGGTTTCAACAATATTCTAAACTGGTTTTGGTTCTATCAGAGAGCTGAATCTGGTTTTCTTCCCTATCAACCATCAACCCTCACTTGCTTATGATATGAAAATGCATATCTGCAAGACTGTCTTTGCATGCTACCAAATGTACTTTGGGTGTTGGTGCAAAATGCATTACATTGTTTACAGTTGGTGTTTCTTACTGATTTAGGGTTGCTGTATCTTTTACTGGTTGCACATCGTCAGTAGTAGACTGATTTCAGGTGAGAATTCTTGGTGTTTCTAGATAAGGAGGCCTCTTTTGAATAGGGACAGGTTCACCTGTGATTTTTTTCCCTTCTATCCCACATATTTTGTTCTTAGTCTTGCATATTTCTGGTTTTGTCGTAGTAAAGTGAAAAAAATGGAGTGCTTAGTTCTAGAGGCGTACTCCTTATTCCATTTCCTTTTCAAATCTTATGTTATTGGAAGAGTAACAATGAAAAGCTGCTTTGGCGTTGGGAAAGTAGATTTAACCGAGTGAGACAGAACACACCTGTGTGCACACTGGAATAGCTGGAACCAGGTTAGTTGATAAGTTACTGTAGCCTGAAATAGACTTCCATGTCGAAATAAAAGGCACACCGAAAGCAGTAACTTACTGTAACGTACCCCACTTTGCAGTGGGCGAAAGGGGGCATGATGATTTCCAGAACGAGGATGGAAACGGAAAGGAAGCAACGCTTCCCATCTCCCCCTGCCGCGGGACATCGCGGGGCGGAGGAGCGCTCGTGGTGCAGGGGCGGCTCGGGGCCGTTCCGGCCGTTCTTTGCCGCCGGCATCGTCCAGGAGCGCCGAGGCCACGCTCACCCAGCGCCGTCGAGGGAGGGGGGAAGGAAGGCGGCGGCCCCGCGGGCGGCCCCGGGCAGGGCTGTGCCGGGGGCTCGGCGCGGCTGCCGCGGGGGCGGAGCGGGGCGGAGCGCGGCTCCCCGGGCCGCTGCGGGCAGCCAGGGGAGGGAGGGCCCTGCGGCCGGTGACTTCATGGGAAGGAGGCGGCGGCGGCGGGAGGTGGGTCTCGCTTTCCGTCTCCTGGTGCCGTCTGTAGGGAGGGCGAGAGGCGGCCGCTACGCCGGGCAGCGCGGGCGGGGGGACAGCGGTGACGGAAAGCGGCAGCTGGGGGGGGGACGGCAGTGCTGGGTTGACTCCCTCCCCCCCTTCCCCCTCCCGGCCGGAGGAAGATGGAACTCCGCTAGTGAGGGCTTGCGGGAGGAGCAGCGGGAGCAGGTAAGAGCTGCTACTCCTCCTCCCGCGCCCGGGCTGCGAGCGGCGGGCGGGCGGGCCGGTGTCACCGGCGCAGGTGGCACAGGTGGGCCCGGCCCTGCCGCGTCCTTGCCCGCAGGCTGCCCGCGCCGCCCCGGCCGCAGAAGTTCCCGCTGTGCGGAGCTGCGGGCGGACAGCCTGAGGGCAGCGCCCTCGGCCGCAGCCCGTCAGGGCAAAGCCGGGCGCTCAGAAGCGCCTCCCGCCCCGTGCCTCGGCTTGGCGTGGCGGGGATGCGGGTAGGGCTGCCGGCTCTGCCCCCGCCCCGTCTCCCCCGGCTCATTGATGAGCTCCGGGAAGGGCTTCTGCATTGCAGACTCGCTTCGCTCCTGCATTCGCGGCTTCAGCCTGTATAAGGAGCCTGTTCCCTGGCCGGCTGGTTCGGTGCTGCTTGGGCAAGAGGCCGATTCAGGCAGTTAGTATATCCTTCTGTGTTTCTTGGACCATGTCAGGACATTTGCGGGGAGATTGACCTCATTTGATAACTATTAGATGTACATGTGATATTTGTTCTTCTGAAACAGCTACAAAAGGATGTCTGCCTGGATTTGTGCGAATAATGCTCATTAAGAGTTTGCAGGCTGCAATATAGTGCAGCGAGATATAATGTGCATATAAAACATAATGCAGTGAGGCACACGACCTTACATAATCTAAATTTAAAAAGCTCACTACCCCTACGCTCACCCTGGAGGTTGTAGGAATATGTCTGTTCTGAGCGCTTTCTGGAGATCTGTTCGGTACCTGTCTGACATAAAGATGCAGCGTGCCCTATGAGCCAGTGCTGAAAATAAAAGAATAAATTGTTGACTACTTTTGCTGTAGTTCTGTCACAGTAAGTTCCTTGTTGCTGGTCAGTGTCTTGCACACACACTGATATTCATGCCTACATGGGCATACACAGCTCCCACAGCCAGAGGGAATGGTCTCTTCTGTTGTCCCTTGGAGGTGCCTTTAAATTGACAGGCTAAAACACTGTCATATTTTAATAAACTCTTGAGGCTTCTCTCCCTAGACCCGAATAATGCTGCATTTCCTAGCATATGGATATAAATTTAATGTAAACAGAGAGAAACCTTTCAGACTTTTCATTTGACCTTCACCATCTCAGACAAATACTCAAAACTGATGATCAGGGAAAAAGTATTTTGGAAAGGCCTGGTTTAAAATATGTTGCTGGATGCAATGTATGCAATTCATACCATATCTAGGATGACACACAGCCAATGTTCTGAGCTCTATCAAAGGGAACTAATGTCTGATAAATTTGGCCCACATTTTATTTTAATTCAGTCCTTACAGATGACATTGACTTTAATAAAGGTTGCTATGGCACAGATTTAAAGCAAATTGTATTAAGCTTCTGGAATTGAAAATGCTGTTGATAGGAAAAGTTTTGTTATTTACAAACTGTTATTAAAATATGAGTGTGTTAGCTGTTGAGGCTGGATCTGGCTCTGTTTTCTGCTTGTTGGTGTGAATTGACTAAATGGTCTCCTTTCTATGGATGGAGGCCAGATTTTTCCCTGGTATGACTGTGCTGCTCACACAGGGGCAAGCTAGACTTTTCCCATTTGAATCTGGAATATAGATGAATATCAGTGCCTAGCAGCCTCTGGAACACTTTCTATTAGAAGAATATGCTTTTGCTAAAGCTGTAACATTGGTACAGAGTACAGAGCCTCTGTGGGCTGTGTGTGCCCACACAGCAGCAATCGTGCTATGACATGGGGTAGCCATGACACCTTTGTGAGTCTGGTTCTTTTGTGATACTACATTTTCATGTCCCTAGTTTTTACAAGAAACTCAGTCATGTTCAGGACAGCTTAATTCAGGTATAATGTAACAACTGATATGGGAATGAGGCCGGGTAGGGGTTATAGAGTTATATTTTTGTGCATAGTGTGCATAGTGTAAAAGTAACTGATTGCTTAACCATAATGCAACTGTTTTTGGGAAAGGTTGGTTTTTGGTTTGGGGTTTTTTTTTGCCAATGGATTCTGGGTTTGAGGGTTTTTTTGCCAATGGATTCTGGAAGATTTTAGTCTTGGTTTAATCAATACAAATTCATGTAATGGTGATGGTGGCTGGATGTTACAGGCTCCAAGGAAGCGTGTAATGAACAGGTAGAAAGGTACTTAGTCCTTCCCTAGTTAGCCTAACTCTGCATCTTTCACTTCCCTGCATCTCTCTTATTGTCATGTTGGCAGGCTCAGCAGAAAGGCCATTCAGTGAATGGGACTCCAGGTAAGGAATTTCATAGAGCTGTACACATGCAAGCTGTGAGCACTGACTGATATTAACCGGTGCAACCATTATGCTCATTGTTGCCATAGATGCCCTTCATATTATTTATTTAAAGATTAGGGAATCTATGCTTTAACCAGTACTATACATAGAACATCTAATTTAAATTAAAACTGTATGTTTTAAATATAATCCCTGTGGTGTTTTCAGATCATTTAGAGTCTTGTATGAGTTCATTGGTATTATATCTGTGTTATTTGGGGGGGAAAGAGTGTTTTTATTAAATTGGCTATATACTGAATAAACTCTAGGATTTAAAAAATGTGTATATCATTGTGCTATTTTGCCTGTTATTGCCTTTAGACAGAGTAATCCTCTGTAGTCTTCATGGGAGGAGAACACTGTCAAGGCATAATTATATATTCAGTTATACAGGAGAGAAAGTTGCACCTGAGAGAAGGAAAGGACTAAGGGAACTAGCAGAATGTTTGTTTTCAGATAGTCTACACCTCATATCTTGCAGTTTTTAGTGAAGTCTCCTTCTGTTTAATATTTTCTGCATTTCAAAAGCATAATGAAATCTGAAGCTTCTTTTGACTCAAATTTCGTAAGATATCTTGGGATTCATATTAAGCAAAAATTAAACATAAACTTTTAATTAAGCAAATGGTAAGCTTAAAATACCAGGTGCAGCTGTTATTAAATTGAGGACTGAAAATAGAAAAGACTTTGTTGTTGTTGAAGATTTGTATTTTACTGGTTTGTTTATCATTCATATGATTATACAAGCATTCATAGATTTTTAGACTAAAGCATGGAGCTAAATGGTATGTGGACTTTCTAAAAAAATTAATTAGGCTGCCCTAATGAAAAAACTGGGAGATTAACCTGGCTGCTTAGATGGTTTGAAAATTCAGCTGTATAGACTTATACAAAAGTAGTTTACCAGGTGTGGTCAAAATATTGCATGGATATTATATTGCATTTTCCTGTATTTCTTTATCACTGTTTTCCTAAAGCAAAGCATGACACAAAACAGAGAAGTTGAGTAAGATGGCAGGACTGTTCTCAAATCCTAGATGGTAATTGACTGGTTTTATTTTAAGGGCAGATTAATTAGTATATACATGTAAATGTAATAGAACAACACTGTCTGTCAAATATTTTCCAGAGGTTTTTTTTGTTATCCTTCCCCAATTACTGACCCAGGGGAGGAAAACATGTAAATCTGACAAGCATGGAGGTACTGGAGATATGAAAGCCTTGACTTACTGTTCTGTTTTCATATGGTTCACCTAACATCACTGTTCGTGATTATTTCTGAGTTTAAGTAGTTTAAAAAGACAAAGCTAATTGTGATGTATTTCAAGTCTCATTCTCAGTTTACTTAAGTTTCTTGTTCTTCTGTTTGAGGTTGGTGTTGTCTATTTTAGGATTCTGTTATGCCAGTGATTTTTAGCCATAGTGCTTTGCTGATGTGTTTTACTGTGGATTATCGGCATCTGTATTTATTTAGTATCTCTTGGATGGACCCTTTAAAAAGCTTTAGGCTTGAAATAGAGAGTTTGTTCAGCTTGCTTACTAGCTTTTATTAAAAGAGTTTATAAATTTATTTATTTAGAGTATCTCAGCCTTTTGAAATACACTTTCAGTAAAAAAATCCCCCAGAAATCTCAGGACAAAAGTATGAATTGGCTCTGTGTTAGTTCGAAAATGTATTTTCTTATGTATTTTATAGATGTCATGAAGGACTGCTGTTGCTGGAAGTATTTTTCAATACTTGCAGGGCATTTTTCAGACTGAGCGTATTTGCAAATGCTTCGTGATATATTTAGTAAAATTAGAATGCTTTCCGTTGTACACTGGAAATTCTTTTGGTCAGAACCCTGAGTTTTGCTGCTCTCTGCTCATGATTTTGGTCTTGTATGCAATGTTTCAATTTAGCCTCTACACAGAACAAAGTATGGAGGTTTTGTACAAAGGGTAAAGTAGCTATTTTTATCTGTCAGTGTTTTGCAGATGATCAGTTCTCTACGGTGATTTTTTTTTTTTTCACTTGCACATTCTCTTAGGACCTGCTGAGTAATCATTTTCATTGAGTAGTTAATCAAAGAAGGGGCAAAACCCATGTAGAAACTGAGCAAGCTGTGGAAGAATTTTGAATCTAATTTTGATCACAATGGTTATATTTCCACTATTGTTTTCAGAATTAGAGTAAGGAACACTGAGAACTTGTTCTTTAATTAGATGCTTGAAATATCACATTTCTAATCCTGATGTCTGCTGACATTAGTGGCCTCTGTCCTATGGAAATGTACAAAGTGGTTATTGCTGTGTGTGACCAGGAGATGTAATACTGTGATGTTATCAGAAATGTGTTCAAATGCCTTTGATTAAAATGGCTAGCTGCCATGGTGATAGTGCCATAGAAACTGGTAAAATAATCAGTGCCTATTAGGAAATCTGAATGAAAAATTCTCCTCTAGTTTTCTGTCTTTTATGTTTCAGCACCTAAAAAGGAATGAAACTCTGCTGATGTTATATTTCTGATTGAAAAGCATACTGAATTAATTCCTTTGTATTACACAGCAGACCGGGCTCAGGTTGTTGTATTGGTACTGCTGAAACATTAAATGCATGAGTGACTGACAATTCAGTCATCCCACAGAGGACTTCTAGTCCCAAGAACAAGGGCACTGGGGTAGGAGACCTTTCTTATA